GTGTGTGTGTGTGTGTGTGTGCGCGTGTGTGTGTGTGTGTGTGTGTGTGTGTGTGTGAGAGAGAGGAAAATAGAAATTAATTTTGAAATTCTACAAATTGTTTTGTGTATATTTTAAGAATGTTACAGGAAAAAGGTTTTTATGTCTATTCTTTTTTCATCGTTATTTTTTTTTTTTTTGCTTTGTTTGTTCCAGTATAATTCTTGTTCTGGTTAAAATTAAATAATGGTTGTAACATCTACAATGTTTCATGTTTTTGCCCATTAAAGTGACTTTCGACCCCTGGAAGCTAGAACATCCAAATTGCTTTTGTTGTACAGTATAAACAAAAGAAACACACACACACACACACACACAGATGTTTGTTTCTGTGAATTGTGGGGACTTCCATAGACTTCTATTACTTTTATACTGATCAAATGATATTTTCTATGCCCTAACCCTAAACCTACCCCTTATAGAAAACCTGTTTGCATTGTCACACTTTCAGATAAACATAATTTACTATTTTTAATCTTTTTTTTCCCTCGTGGGGACTGCAGGCCGGTCCCCACAATGTCAAAAATGTCAGGTTTTACTATCCTTGTGGGGACATTTGGTAATAATATCATTAGGATAATTAGGCAACAGCTGTGACTGTATAGGGTCACATTTAACTGCATTTTTTAATGATATATTGTACAATAAAAAAATTTTTCCCCAAATAAAAGAAATTATTTAGCATCACTAAATCAACCCAAATACATGCATTTATACCAACAAAAGTAGTAGTAGTAGTAGTATTTTTATGGGTTAAACCAGGTAAAAATTGCTCTGTAAGGTAACAATTGCAGGTTGGTGTATCACAATCAAATGCACATAGAGTAAATGTGAAGTTTAAAGAGGATTATTGATTACATTTGTGATCAGTTTATAGGTTTTCCCTCTGTCCTCATCAAAAGACAGTTCCTTAATGATGTAATTTTCCAGGAAATAAAATAGTTTTTGTTGATAAATAAAAGAAATGGTACATCAATAAGCATTATTAGTGGAATTGATGAATTGCTCCAATCAAATCCTTACTGAGTAATGCCTAACTTTATCTATTTGTTTCCATCCCTTTAATTGCCATACTATTGTGTAAATAATTCATTTAAACCGTTATTATAATTTTCATATTTTTATAACATTTTTATAAAATTAATAATGTTAAACTGTCTGAGCTGGACCAGAACAAATTTATGAAAATCTGCTTCTACTTTTATATAAATACGTACTCTAATGTAAGCATATTGTTTTTGCACTGACAGAGCTCAGAAAGCACTACACCAAACAGAAATATCTTTAAATAACCCCTTAAATGAATAATTAATATGCATAATAATATTATACATAATATAATAATACATGATTATGGTTATCATTTAAGCTATTCATTATTAGCTTCTTTTTTTTTAAACATTTACTGTATTTACTGCAGTTACCAAACCCTTACATGGGGAAATATGTGGGATTAAATGAGTTAACTACATTACCCACAATGCACTCGGGTGTTTCTATACAGTATGGCATGCATACGAGCTGCACTGTGCTGTGTAATGTTAGGTGATACAGTGGAGACAGTGGAGGTCATTTGACGGGACGATGATGATTATCGATCAGTCAGTGAGAGAATCCTGTCATGCGCTCAGAAAGAGCGCGAGCGGAACGCACGCGGAGCATCGATTTGAGCGCCAGTCCCATGCAGGTATTTACATGACTAATAATAAAAAAAAAAGACTATAAAGTATGCCTGAGCCCTTTTTGCTAAGCTGTTAGTTAATGTAGATCAAAAGAATTCTTACTGTTAATGCAAATCGTTTGAATGAATGAATAAACAGCAGGGTTTCAAATGTCCCTGAGTTTGGCTGCTTTGTGGATTAGTTTGAAGCTCCGCCTCCAGAGCCAGCGGACTTTAAAGCGCTCGCCGCTCTCTGACTGACTGACTGACTGACTGAAGCCCGAGCTGCGCCGCACCATGGCAACAGAGCGGCCCTCCAAACTGCGCGTCTTCTCTCTCAACTGCTGGTGAGCTCAGATGATGCTTCCGCGTCAAAATCACGCACGGAAAGCGTGTTTGTGTTGGGAGCGCTCCGAAACAATGTCAACTGCTTTTAATGGGGGAGAAATGCAGCTCGCTGTGTTTATTTATCGAGTTAATTATGCATGGATTTATTTATGAATATTTTATGGGTTTGCTGCACACGTCTAAGTGTAAAATACAGGTTTTTAAGTAGATAATATAGTAGTTTTATTAGATAAATGAGCATTTTTTATTCATTTTTGAGCTTTAGCAAAATAATTTTGTCTAAGTCTAGCATATTTCATTATTCTGCATTAACCTTCTGGGGTCTGAGTGTGTTTTGGGGCCCTGGAGAAGTTTCGACATCCCCTGACATTTGTGTAGCTATCTTTGGTGATGTTGACATTTTTTTGTATGCCTATAATTCCATACTATTCAACTAGAATAGTAAATTAGAAAATTGTTGAAGACTTTATGAATGTAGCATATACAGTAGTGTTGCGATGTGTGTCTATGTGTGTGTTTGAATATTTGCCATTTAAAAAAATGTTTTTTAATTTTGTTGTATTTTTTCAATCTATGCCACGAAGAATTAAGGCAGTTTTGAAGGCAAAAGGGGGTCCAACCCGGTACTAGCAAGGTGTACCTAATAAAGTGGCCAGTGAGTGTGTATATATATATATATAAGTTTTGATTAATTTTTATTTCAATTTTAGTTTTAGTTCTTTTAGTACATCAAGTTACAGTACATGAAAGTGAAAAATGGTAGCTTGGCAAATAGCTTTTTTATATTATTTCAACTAACACTTTTTTATGGTTTTATTTGTAGTTAACAGTAATAGCCCTGAAATATTTAATTTTAAAATAGCAGTTTCCAGGCCTTCAAATGGCACTAAAAATAATCAAATCTTCATAAATAATGGACACTTTTTGAATGGAATGTATTATTTTTATTATTATTATTAGTAGTAGTAGTAGTAGTAGTAGTGGTAGTATAGCTCAGCACCAACATTTTGTATTGCTAGAAACTACTCTCTATTTTATAACTATTATATAACCTTATACTCTTAAGACATGTGTTCAGAGAACAGAAAACCTTTGCATTGAATGCAACTTTTAGAAATCTAGTCTAGACATATACCAGACTCTTTAGATATATTTGACATAAATATATTAGAAAGTTCTCAAAAATTGTGTGTGTGTGTGTGTGTGTGTGTACACAGTATACAGTATGAAGGGAAAAGCACATGAGCAGACAGGCTGACACACATGACATGCAGTGTGGGCCTCCCGCTCTGCTGATGCCAACACTGTCAGCACCATGTTCCAGAACAAGACGCAATAATGCAGACTGTGATTGTAGCTGAGACAGAAAATGTGGTTTTTAATACTTCCCCTGATTTAGATGACACAGCAGATTATTAAAGCATCCATGTGATGGAGCTGTGAAATGATGAAGTCAGCTGTATTAATATGTGGAGCATAATGACTGCATATGTGTATACAATAAATGCTGTTGAGGTTTTGTATGTGGGCAGACCGCAAGACAATAGTGACTATGGTTTTGTGTTTTTCAGGGGAATTCGATTCTTCAGTCAACTCTGTACACAGCGGTATGAGATGATCGGAGAATTACTGGGCCGAGAGCAGCACGACATCGCCCTGTTACAGGAAGTGGGTTTTACTCTACACTTTTAACCCCCTTATCCTCTGACTGTCTTTAGGGATTCATTCAGTGCCCTTGTGGCTTTAGCACTTAATTTTGCTTCATTTCCCTGATGGACGAATAACACTGTGTCCTAAACAGATATGTGGTTGTGGCTGGTTATAACGTTTGGGGTCGGTAAAATGTTTAATGTTTTTGAAAGAAGTCTCTTATATTCAACCAGACTGCATTTATTTTATCAAAAATTCAGTAATATTGCAAAAAAAAAAATACTACTATCACCTCCACTTTCTGCTCCTCCACCTGTCTGAGTCTCCTCTGCACCCCCTCTCTCATTTTGGTAAGTTTAGCAATCTCCTGTTTCAGCTGGGCTACTTCTTCTTCTCTCATCTGAACCACACAGGACACGAGCCATTAGTGTCTGTGTGTGTACATGTGAAGCCCAAACTAGTCAGCACTAGTTAAAAACAACCAGGCTCATACAGAGAACCTGTAGCTCATAAATCAAATATATACACTACCATTCAAAAGTTTGGGGTCGGTAAAATGTTTAATGTTTTTGAAAGAAGTCTCTTATATTCAACCAGACTGCATTTATTTTATCAAAAATTCAGTAATATTGCAAAAAAAAAAAATACTACTATTTAAAAGAACTGTTTACTTTTTGAATATATGTTAAAATGTTATTTATTCTTGTGATGCAAAGCTGAATTTTCAGCATCATTTCTCCAGTCTTCAGTGTCACATGATCCTTCAGAAATCAGTATAAAATGCTGATTTGGTTTTTGCTGCTTAATAATTTTATGGAACGCGTAATACACTACCAGTCAAAGTTTTGGGCTAAGTAAAATAAATAAATAAATAATAATAATAATAATTAATACATGTATTCAGTGAGGATGCAATAAATTGAACAAAAATAACAACAAATACATACAGTGGTGTGAAAAAGTTTTTGCCCCCTTCCTGTTTTTTTAATTGTTTGCATATTTGTCACACTTAAAGGATTCAGATCATCAAACAAATTTTAATATTACACAAAGATAACCTGAGTAAATATAAACTGCAGTTTTGAAATTATAATTTCATTTATTAAGGGAAAAAAGCTGTCCAAACCTGCCTGGCACTACGTGAAAAAGTAATTGCCCCCTAAATATAATAACTGGTTGTGCCACCCTTTTTATCTTTATGAGACAAGAAAAATAAGCATTGCAATCAATAAAGCTGATTTGGCAGAATTTGTAATCATCTCACTTATCAAAGAAGCAGTAGTATCTACAGTTAACACTTCAACACTCTTAGACTCCCCCCAAAGCATGAAGGGAATTAGAAGCTTTTGGATTTTCACATTATTGGTGGTATCGGCTATTACTATTGCAAATCCTTGACCCACATTTTCACTATTGGTTTTTTGCAAAACCTTTACGCTCTGCTTATTCACCATGGTACAATGATAAATAAGGGATGTATTAAAGGACTATTTAACCCAAAATGCTGAAAATTTACCCTCAGGCCATCCAAGATGTAGATGAGTTTGTTTCTTCATCAGAACAGATTTGGAGAAATGAATACATTACATATTATTTAATATTAATGAAATTAAAATGCTTAATGAAATATTCAATATTACATTTAATATTTAAAATTTACTAAATGGCAACTTCATCATTTCAAATGTGTAATTACAAATATATTTAAATACATGACGTGCAAGATATATAGTAGCCTATATTTTCATTTACACATTACACTTTAACCAAATATCAACAGATAATAGAATTATGTAATTACATGTAAATATATACATACTGTAAGTCCTATACTTAAAGTTCAGCTAATTGCATTTAATATGAATTTAAACTATTAATAAATTTGTTGTTTAATTGAAATGAACGTGTATGTAAACATTACATTCACTTTGCACTTAAATTCTTTTGAAGAATAGTATTTCTGTAATATGTACTCTGTTTGAAAGTATGTTAAAGTATACTTTTTCCACAAGGGACATAATGTGACTAGCTTTTGTAGAGGAATCCGATATGTTTTGTTTCTTTATGGTACAATGATTCATGTAACAAAGTTTTAGCACAGCGAGAATTACATTACATTTTGTATGTGTGTGTGTTCCTCTCAGCTGCGCCATGGCGACTGGTTTGGAGGCAAAGCAGTCGGGTTGGTCATTGTAGACGTTTCTGGATTAAAGGCGCACGTCTATGTTACTCATGTAAGTCGCTCTCTCTAAAGTCTGATCGGGCTTGAATAGGTCTTGAGGTGTGTTCTTCATGGTCACTCGGGTTTATTCATGAGTAACTGGAGACGATGCACCTTCAGTAATGATACTGCTTTCCTCTCAGTTACATGCAGAGTACTCCAGGGCTCAAGATGAATACCTGCCCCACAGAATAGTGCAGTCGTGGGAAGTGCTGCAGTTCGTGCGGTAAGAGAAAGTGTGTTTTCTAAATGTGTCACAGAGAAAGGAGGTCACAGGCTTTTAGTAAACTCCCACTGTGCGGCCTCTTTAGCCACACGTCCTGCGGAGCAGATCTGGTGGTTCTGGGAGGGGATCTGAACATGCACCCTCAGGACCTGGGAAACCGTCTCCTCAGATCCCACACTGGGCTCAGAGACTGCTACACTGAAACAGACACGTTTGATGTGAGCACACTTCCTGTTACATGCTTATTCAGTTTGTTTGTGTGCCCTGTTTTGCTTCGAATCGTCACTTTGTGTTGCTCTCGGCAGGGCTGTGAAGATGGTCACACGCTAATAGCAGACAATCACTTCACAAAGAAGCAAGATCTTGTTCCTTTTGAGAAGGGCATCAGAATTGACTACATTCTCATGAAGGTAAAATAATCTCAATATACTGTATATAGGACTACACACATTTTTGTTTAAATAAATTAATAGATTTATTCAGCAAGGATGCATTAAAGTGATTAAAAGTGACAGTAAAGATGTTTATAATGTTGCACAAGATTTCTATTTCAAATTTTTGCTCTTCTTATTCATCAAAGAATCCTGAAATAAAATGTGTTACTTTTTTTTTTTAACAAAAATATGAAGCAGCTTAACTGTTTTCAGCATTGATAATAATAAGAAATGTTTCTTGAGCAGCAAATCAACGTACAGTATTAGAATGATTTCTGAAGGATCATGTGAAACTGAAGACTGGAGTAATGATGCTGAAAATTCAGCTTTGATCACAGGAATACATTGCATTTTACAATATATTCAATAGAAAATTACAATATTTTATTTATAGAAAAGAGTTATTTTAAATAGTAAAAATATTTCACTGTATTTTTGATCAAATCAATGCAGCCATGGTGAGCAGAAGACGCTTCTGCTAAAAACGTTTAAAACTCCACAAACTTTTGAACAGTAGTGTATGTGTAAGTTTTCACGCTGCTCTTTTCCATATGCCATACTCAACATTAGTGTTTATGTTTGTTCTTTTTCTTGTGCAGGGCTCTCAGAGAGTGAGCATGAAGTGTGAGTCTCTTTCCACCACCAAAGGTCCAGTGGCTGATAAACCCTTTCCATATTCTGACCATGAGGCTCTGACTGCTGAACTGGCCCTTCTGCGCTTAGAGGACAGCAGACAGCATGGATCGAGCGACAGTGAGTACTCAGCGTTGTTCTCAGAACAGCAAAAACAAGCATTTCACATCAGTATAACAAATGAAACCCTGCTTCAGAGCAGTTTTTATGCATACCAGGCCCGGACTGGCCATCGGGAGCACCGGGAGAATTCCCAGTGGCCTGGCGGCTGATTTGACCCGCTGCCCTGTTTTTTTTTTTTATTATTATTATTATTATTAAAGGGTTAGTTCACCCAAAAATTAAAATTATGTCATTAACTCACCCTTGTGTCGTTCCAAAACCTGTAAGAACTTCGTTCATCTTCGGAACACAATTTAAGATATTTTTGATGAAATCTGAGAGCTGTCTGACCCTCCCATAGACAGCAAGGTAACTACCACGTTCAAGGTCCAGAAAAGTACCAAGATGATCGACAAAGTAGTCCGTGTGACATCAGGGGTCGAACTGTAAAGTTGCACCGTGGGGCTTCTGGGAGCCGTTTGCATGGGCCTGCTCCTCTCTGGAGCTCTGCTCTACCTGCTCTTCACCACACACATCAAAGTCCTGAAAGAGACTGAAGACCAGATGATGCTGACCTCTAATGACCTCCAGACTAAACTGACAGGATGTCGGCTGTCTGGATCTTCATCCTTCGATGGTTCTCCAGAGCTCCAGCCGCTGAGTCCTTTTAAACGGGTTGACCCGTAAGAGCTGGTTCTGGGTCAGGTTACTGTACCTCAGTGTTACATAATAGCTGTTAGGAAATAACTTGAAGAGCTGATCCGAGAGCAGTGCTCTGAGGCTACCTCAATTCAGTGAATAGACAGATTAATCATCACAGAGCTGCTGCTCTTCGCATTTTAACGAACTGAAAATCTTGAAGGCTGGAATGGAAAGCCCTGTTTGTTTTCCGTGAGGGCGAGTTATTTAATTCTTTGCTAGTCTATGCCTGTTAAGACACTCCGAACAGTGTGTTCTCTGATATTTTAATGTAACTCAAAAGAGACTTAAGTCCATTTTTTTAACGGTTTGTTGTTGAGGTATTACTAGACCACATTTTAGGCATTATAAACACTGTTTGAATGTCATTTCATCATAATCATGAATAAATAAATCACTATTCTGAAGCATTTTCATATTTACTGTAGGGTGTTTTAAATAATTCACCCCCTTTCCACAAGGTAGTGCTCTTGCTCTTGAATGCAAGAGCATAAATGGTTAAAGGGTCAGTAGAGGTTCTGTAGGCAAAATAAAACAAATAGTTTGCCATTCTTATGAAATTAAATTTGTGTGATGAATTAATATCTGGCTTGTGGAGCTGAAAAGTGAACAATAACAGTTTAGTTTCTGAGTATAGTCTGTAGCCTTTTAGCCAACATCTGTTTTCTGTGGTTAGCAAGCTATTTTTATTTTTAGCTTTCATTTTCTTCCAAAGAAATTCTAAACATTCAGCAACAACAACTTTAGCTTTCATTAAATTTGAATAAATAAAGAAATAAATCTTACCTCTTGGACAGTTTATATAATATTTTTTTAAAGCCTAATATAATATCATATATCCATGCATAATAATTAAGAGGAAAAATATGTAGTTTTTTATCTATTTTAGCAAATAGATTTGATTAGATAGATTTTTAAATAGGTTTTTCTGCAGGACGCATTAATATTTTATGCCAAGCCTAATAATGCTACATCAGACTTCAATAGCAATTAACACAAGAGAAGATTGGGGCTTCTAGTAGGTTTTTATAATATTTAAGTACTTTAGGAAACCATTACCATAACAATATTTAAGACAATAATTAACATCTTAGCCCTTTTGTTGCATAACAAAATAGTACTAGGAGGAATAGTATTTCTGGGTGCAGTTGTAAAAGAAGGGCTAATTATAATATAGAGTTACAGCACTTGTTGTGTGTTTGATCATCACAGCACGGATGGTGATGCACTGTTATACACTGCTTTACACACTGAAGCATGTACAGTTATACTGTGTTGTTCTGGTGAGTGAATGTCAGACTTTTGTAGGACTGTAGAGTTGGCGCCTGCAAGATCTGTCACTGAAGTGTGATGCCAGAGACTAGCAACTCAGTCAATAACATCTCCCATCATCCACACTGGAGCATGAGAACATTACACTATCCAATAAACGCATATCACACTTTAATGAATATAACAAACCTGTTTCTATAGATAGGCAGAAATAGTTGAACCATAATTCTGGAATTCATAGACAACTATCGCACAAGGCTGCAAGCAGACACTGATGCAACTCGTGATATCACTGCTATAATTAAGGGTTTGTAAACTTTGGAACGTTATAATCAATGTAATTTCAGTTATTTTGTTTTCATTATTATTATTTTTTTTAATCGTCGATGTACTGAATGTATACAGTATGTGTATGTTATGTGAAGCTTCAGTAGGCTACGGGATACAGTGATGTTAAAGAGAGAGAGATAGAAGGAAACAAATATTTTTAAATGTTTTTGCGTATGCTACTCTCGCAAAAGTATTGCGTTGCCAGTTTTACTAACAGCTTGCGCAAGCGCAAACCGTCTTTTGGCGTTAAAATAGTACTGTCAGGTTTTACTAAAGACGCGCAGTGACGAATTAGCGATGAAAAGGCGTGGACACAGTTATTAAATATGCATTTGTAGGAGTTTCCCTTTCAGACGCGTTATGGGAGGAGAGTATTCAAATTAATCACGCGACCGTTTGCGCTCGTCAAATTACTGGTATTTGCGTCATTATTTAACGCCCAATAAAAGCATGTCTTAAACTATTTTGCGCTTGAAATGGCTGCAATTATTGTTCCCATTTGAAAGGAAACGTAGCAAGAGTTTTGCCAGAGAACTCAAAATATCTCTTTGGAACATATCATATAATGTGTATGAATTGTAACATTTAACAGCTTGTGGGATGCATGACATCATATTATCAAATGCAAGTAAACTTTTGAAACATTTAAAGTAGCATTATTTTTGGGATAATAAATAATGCTATATTTAATAATGCTGTAAAATAATTAAATAAAATATAAAATAATGCTAATTTAAATGATTCAAAAGTTTACTTGCATTTGATAAGAAGCTGCGTGGGCGAAAATTACATGTAAACAATTTTAAGGCTATTTTGGCTATGCTCATCGCTGGTCTGGTTACTGGTATAGGGCTATAGCCAAGCCGTTAAAATTAGACCACAGATTGCCGCGATTTCGCCAGGTGGGCTAAAAGCAGACTACACGTAGCCCCTCTAATTTAGAGCGAAATCGTGGCTACATATAGACCATGTCGTGAAATGACACTTATATATTTGTAGATATTATTGACGCAAGACTTTTGCGAGAGATCGCAGAGTTTCTTTTTTTGGAACGCAAGACTTTTGTGAGAGATCGCAGAGTTTCTTTTTTTGGAACGCAAGACTTTTGCGAGAGATCGCAGAGTTTCTTTTTTTGGAACGCAAGACTTTTGTGAGAGAACGCAGTTTCTTTTTGGAACACAAGACGTTTGGGGGAAAACGCAGTTCACTCAGTATGTATAAATTTATTCATAAAATAATTCATTTAAAATCAAATAAATGAATGAATAATTGAATGAATGTTCAGCCAGTTTCAGTCAATTCTTTTCAATCACTATGTACCAAAAAAAATCCAAATTTTTATGACCATGCTTGTAATTAAAAAATGATAGATAGATAGATAGATAGATAGATGCTTGTGAACTACAAATGCGATATTAAACCGGGTTGCTAGGAAACGCCAGGTAATTGACAGGTTTAAAGAGTGAATGTGGACCTGTGATTGGTCCGCAGCGCGGCACATCAGATGGGCGTGACCTTAGGTGTGGTTCTCCACTGAAGAGCACACAGACTCTCGCTATATCCGCAGCCGGACGGGAGGTCGGTGTTGTCGAGTCTGGTCGTAAGTGCGAGTAGAACCACTGAGAGCAGCGATGACTGCCGAACCGATTCGCTCGGCTCTGGGCACTGTCTCAACGGAGGACACCTCTCTGGTGCTGCCCTCCGACAAAAAACAGCGGACGGGGCAGCAGCGCGTCCTGGAGCAGGTTAACACCATAAAGAGAAGCAAGTCGAAGATGGTCAAGAATGACTCCATTCCGTCGCCAACAAGTAAGTGCGCTGTTTATATGCATTAGTTATAATGCCAGTGAGACAGCGTGAAATAAATCTTACAACTTTAATAAACTTCACTAACAAGGACTGCATGCTTGTTTGGCAGTATCTGCATGAAAACTTCTCTTTTTTTCATTAGCAAGTTCAAGCAGGTCTTTGAGGCAAAACTGCATTCATTTGTAATCAATATCTCAAACAAGAGTTTTTGACAGGGGTGTGTCTCAAAGCCATGTGAACTAGAAGCCTACCTACACTGCATTTTTGGGTCTGATATAGACACACATTTGATCCCATGCTGCAAATACAGTGCAGTATGTTGAAGTGAAACATTTAATCTTACATTTAAGTATGTTTCTATGTAAAGTCAATGAATTCCAGGTCACTGTTTCATAACAAATTACTGTAAACATAATCATAGCACGCATTGTGTGATATAGTTTAGCTGTGTTTTGAAATCATCATGATTTATTAATGTTCAATTTGGCTGGAAGCAAGTATAAACAACTTGCCTTCTACTGTGTGGCAATATTGTACAATGTAGCATAAAATAATATTAGTGTTCAGTAAACAATTGAGACTTGTCTTGTAATTATTTATTAAAACATTTTTCATTGTTTATTCCTTTGGGCATGCAACACTGTTTTTATCTCTGGTACACTGCATTTTTGGGTCTGATATAGACACACATTTGATCCCATGCTGCAAATACAGTGCAGTATGTTGAAGTGAAACATTTAATCTTACATTTAAGTATGTTTCTATGTAAAGTCAATGAATTCCAGGTCACTGTTTCATAACAAATTACTGTAAACATAATCATAGCACGCATTGTGTGATATAGTTTAGCTGTGTTTTGAAATCATCATGATTTATTAATGTTCAATTTGGCTGGAAGCAAGTATAAACAACTTGCCATCTACTGTGTGGCAATATTGTACAATGTAGCATAGAATAATATTAGTGTTCAGTAAACAATTGAGACTTGTCTTGTAATTATTTATTAAAAAATTTTTCATTGTTTATTCCTTTGGGCATGCAACACTGTTTTTATCTCTGGTAAACCTTTAGTATGAGTTGTAAACACTCGACAAGTACTCAAAGGTCAGCAATATTGAATTTTCAATAAACATAATTATTGATAAAAAAACAACAACCTTGCATCACAAAATAATAGTATTGTAAGTACACATGACAGCGAAAACTGCAACAGAACAAACTTTCCCTTGTGAAAAATAATTATGCTTTAGCATACTTATACAAAGAGTACTTATGGAAAGTATGTAGCTACTTTAAAAGAAAAAGAACTGAATGTAATGTTTTCGAACACTTAATTGCATGTTATTTATTGAACAATTCAATGAAAATGTATTACAGTTTACATTTATATTAAGTGCAATTAGCCACACTTTAGAAAGCTTTTTGACCCACTTTAGTAGCTCATTATATGTAATGTCATAATTAATTCTATTGTATTTGAAATATAGTTAAAGTGTATTGCTGAATGTACTGAAAAGCGTATATGATCAACTAGAATATACTTTAATGCCATTCCTTTGAAAATTATGTCATGTATTTAAATATATTTGTAATTACACATTTGTAATGAAGTTGAATTTTAGTTCATTTAAAATATATTACCTTTAAATGTAATGTGAAATAACACAATAATCAAGTACTTGTGCTTTAGTATGTTAATCAACACGACAAAATAAGTATACCTTTTAACGATTATTAAAACAATTGAAAATGTACTTCAAAGTAAAAATGTTACTTTTTATTTACAATTATATTATTTATTTACGTATTCTGTGGCCATCACAGCATTACAGTTAATCTGTAAATATACAAGCGATAACTGTAACACAGACACTTGTGATTACTGTATGTCTGTCTGTGAGGTCACAGTATACAGACATCATTTAATTGTAAAAAATCGTCGAACCGCTACTGTAAAAATGACTGAGAGTACAACAGTCATTAGCCAGGAATATACTGTACTTTCACATTTTTGTGAGCTAATATGCTGCCCAAAATGCTGTCTAGGTAGGCAGCTCACTATAAGCTTTGAGACACAGACATAATCCACCCAGTGTTTAGAAGTGACGCACTGTCTAGTGCAGAAATTTGCTGAATTTCATTCAATTCAGTTACATTTAATATCTCAAGGGTTTTTGCTAAGCGAATAATAAGAGAGAATAATGTGTCTTGTTTAACACAGTTGCATGTTGTATTTTATTACACGCTTTAATAACAGACTTAATTCATAACATGTCAATATTTCATGTGCAAATATACAGTATATGAAGTTCAATGATATTTTCAGAATATCTGAATGTGGGTTGCTGACAAAAAAAACATAAAAATGAAATTTTTTTAGCACCAAATGCTTGGATAAAATTGTATTCATATTTAAGAGAAAGTGTGCATTTGAAGTGCTGCGTGTAAGTTTTCACATATTAATGTAAATAGTCCTCTGATGTCGTGAAATAATTATAGTATATATGTTTCTCTATTAGCATGTATATATGCAGAATACTGCATGTGTAATTATGCAAGAATTAGAAAGTTATTTTTGTAGTTTAAAGTAGTTTAATTAGGAGAATATCACGTCGCTCTGCTGACACTAATGATGTTAATGTAACGTTAATGATGTTTGTTAATGCTATTAATGGAAGTTATTATATAGGGTTAGTACATATATAATAATTATTTACCTATTTAGAGAAATTTTGAAAATTAAACTTATATTGCATATAAGTGAGACATTTGGATAGTGCTGCATGATTAATCGAAATTAAAACAAAATCGTGATATGGCTTAATGCGATTATTACATGCCTAATAAAGTTTAGTGTTTCAAAATGAGTTTGTCAAAATAAAAGTTTGGTGTTTTAAAGTTTTCAAATTAGTAAATTAGGACAGCCATATACATTGGTATTGTAATTTTACAGTTGCACCATAAAATTAATATGATTATATATATTTTTTTCTTAAATTTCTTGATTTGTTTACTATAGTAATTTTTTTATTTTGTAATAATAATAATATTAATAATAATATTTTGTATTATTATTATTATAGTTATATTTATTTATAATGACAAAATTTTGGGGCACATTTTGCAGCCCTACAATCATACAAAGAGAAACTGGGGGTTCTAAAACATTTGAAAATACATTTTTGTTTAAATAAATGTCGTTATCGGTATTTTACCGTAAATGTCACAGATTTTTTTTTTACAGTGCATGTTTAACTATGTAAACTAGACATTCACTAAACGTATCATGTTTAATTATCAAGTCTAGTCACTAGTAAATTAGTGTAATTATGTCATTTGAAAATTTGTTTGTACTTGTAGCTCCGGCATTGGCGACAGAATACAGTGAGCCTAAATTCCAGTTCTCACCAACAAGACTGAACGACACACTCTTCAAATTTAGCAGCTCCAACATGACAAGCAGCCACAGCAGAATGGTAAAGTCTCACACACACTATGTGCTCCGCAGCATGATTTATATATACTGTACTGCTTGACTACACTGATTTATGATTGTTGCCTAGAGTTTCATTGTCACGGCAGACACGTGCTTGGTTGTGCACAACTGACAATTCTGCTTCTCCACGTAACTCATATAAGTATTTTGATATTCAGCAAATTAAATTGACTCAATTTTAGTAGTATATTACTGAATTGGAATAAAATCCTTCTGTTAGATGGACATTTCCATAATTGATAGTTGGCGGTTTTTGATGGAATTTGATATAAGCAGAGCTTGATGCTTATTTTTTTTCCCAAGGGACACGTGTGCTCCCGATTTGAAAACTTTAGGAGCACATTAAATATCTTTAGGGACGCAATGGAAATTTTATTAAATAATGTGTTTTTCTTTAAAAAAGGATACAAGGAGACATTTACAAGCAAGTTTAATAATAACAAAACATGTTGTTTAGCGATTCCCGTTTTTCCATCCCCAAATTTAAGACTTCTTAAAATGATAATTAAGATGTTTAATTATACAATTTACGATAGCTTAAAATTCATAAAACTTACTTGTGCTCCTAAATACACTTTACAGTTCCATACAGCTTCAGTGTGCCATCATTAAGAAAAAGTATAATTTCCTAGATATTGTTAATAATAGTTGTTCATAATAAAATATGTATAAACTTAATACATGACCTAGACTATTTATTTTGCAAAATCTTGTCATTTTAATAAATATTACATGAAATTTATTAAAAATTGTTGCTGCTCCAATTAAGCTCAGTGTGCTCTCTTTAAGCTCTTCTACATTGAACGTCTGTATAAATACTTCATAAACAGACTTCAAATATAAACCAATGGTTGTCACTTTAAGTCGCAAAGGAAAACTGGGCATCATACACTAAACGAATGAAGATCACACCAGACTTTAAATGTCTTCCGATCACTCACACAGAAATGTGCACATTGTTGCTAGGAGACGCGTGACAAATAAAAACAATGTGTGTTCAATGTAAATTTTGGTGAGCTTAATAGGTACCTTTACCCTATATTACAGTAATGACAATCTAAAAGAAAATCAGAAGACTGCTTGAAGAATTAAAGACAAATTCAAAATTAAAACATCCAGATACATTACAGTAAAGAAAATGATATTTTTTTGCATTACAGTATTTTATTCCTGCAAATATAATGTATATTTTTGGTTTTCATTTTAGTTTATAATATGACTGAGCATGATTGTGGTATTCAGTCTTTAGCATTGCATTTCCTTTTCAGTAGATATTTTAGTTTCAGCATCTGTGAATTAGCACACTAACACAGCAGTCTGTGGTATTGTGATATGAAACAGTTTATTAAAACAAGCTGGTTGCTGTTGTGAAGAAGAAGGCTGGTGGAACAGTTTTGCTCGTTTTGTTCCCGGTGTGTGTGTATATTCTTAAACCAAGTGTATTTTGTTTATGCAACAACATTGCAGCGTAATACCTAAGAATGTGCTCTGTGTTCAGCATTTGTTCTGTAAACATTTCCTAAGAAAGGAGGGGGTTACTTTGTTTTATTGTGCTCTATTGAATGGCAACTTCTAAAAAGATATGAAATGTTTATTATTGCAAGATACTAGATCAAATCTGCTACAGGGCCATTTATTATGCGATTATAATGTTTTGTAGTTTAACTTTGATCAGACCAGCTTTTGTTTCTTTCCCGATAAGAGCTGCAGGAATGGTGTCCGATTTAATGAATACATTTGTATTGAAAGATGAAAGGATAAGAAGGTTTTGTGTTTCAAAGCATCACAGTGAAATTGTTGTGAAATGGTTTTGTGCATTTATGAAAAATGTGTCATTACTTCTTAACTTTAACTTTCTTTGACATAGACAGTGTGTCTGTATATACTGTGTAATATTAATATCAATCAGAATTTGGTCATATTCTCGTTACATACAGTTGATTGTCATGCAAACACTACTTTTAAGCTACCTTTTTGCACTTTTGTGTGCATTTGTCAGTGACATGAAAAATAATTTTATGAGTTAAATCACAATGCAGATTGCAGAATTACCGAAAACAAAAATCGTAATTAATTGTTTAATACTTTATTGGTTCACCCAGAAAAATTAGCTTAAAATTGACCCTCAGGCCATCCAAGATGTAGATGAGTTTGTTTCTTCATCATCAGAATTGGAGAAATTAAGCATCACATCACTTGCTCAGCAATGGATGCTCTGCAGTGAATGGGTGCCGTCAGAATGAGAGTCCAAACAGCTGATAAAAACATCACAATAATCCACAAGTAACCCACACCCCTCCAGTCCATCAGTTAATGTCTTGTGAAGTGAAAAGCTGTGTGTTTGTAAGAAACAAATCCATTATTAAAGCCTTTTTAACTTTAAAGCTTCACTTCTGGCTAAAATACGAGTCCTCAATCCATAATATTGTTTTTTCTTTCAAAGTAATTTCATATGAATCAGGAGAGAATTATGCACAGATCAAGCACTGTTTACAAGACAAAACAGCTCAAAACAAATATGTGTGTGGAGTTTGATGGACTTTTCTCACTGGAGGAAGTGTTTATCAATTATGCATTTTGTCCAAAAGCAACAGTTTGAAGGTAAAACACCTTAATGATGGATTTGTTTCTTATAAACATGCAAGTTTTTGCTTCACAAGACATTAACTGATAGACTGTAGTGGTGTGGATTACTTGTGGATTATTGTGATGTTTTTATCAGCTGTTTGGACTCTCATTCTGACGGCACCCATTCACTGCAGAGGATCCACTGGTGAGCAACTGATATGATGCTACATTTCTCCAAATCTATTCTTATGAAGAACCCAACTCATCTACATCTTGCATGGCCTGAGGTTGAGTACATTTTTAGCAAATTTTCATTTTTGGATGAACTATTCCTTTAGCCAGAATACAGATCTTTATGGGACAATGCTGTTCATGTAAATAAACGTATTGCAGAGCAACTTAATTATGCCCTGCATGTTTCATCTAGATCTACTGGTAGTGCTGTAGCAGTTTTATTTCATTTTTGACACAGTTCTCCCAATCTCTCAGTTCCAGGGTATTGCTGTCTAGTGATCAACATATCATAAATTGGAGGGTTAAAGTTAATTATTTACAGTAAAATCTCTCATTAGCAGGGGTGTTAATGGCCAGTTGCCAAAGAAACACACCCAATCAGAATATGACAGGGATATAATAGATTGTCTGCATGGTCATATGACCAGTAAATCATTGATTTTATATTACTTAAATCAATCGGAGCCGGCTGTGTGATTCCAGGGAAAGAGTTCAGTAGTACTGTCAACGGCAAATAAAGTAATACCATTCAGATTCTTAGTAACAATTAAAGGATACACATCAGGGTTATTATAGTTTACATAAAAATAAAACCATAAAACAATTTTATGTTATTTGAAACAAAACTTTAACTGAAATAAAGTACAAAAACAAATAAGCTAGTTGTCAAGGCAGCATTTTCATTTTCTTTTAGTTTATCTTGATGTACTAAAATAACTAAAAATATAAAATAAAAATGAATGAAAATCATATTGACAAAAAAATATATATCTTGAATTTCGATGAGTTCATGCTCTCAGCAAACAATAATTTACAGTACATATTGTAATCGGTACAGACCGTGTTTATCCTTATTGCAAGCCAACCCATATTTAATGTAGTCTGGATTGAAAGTTTGTTTTGTTTGTGGGTTTTTGTTTTGTTTTTTGGATTGGGGTATGTCACACAACCTGTCCATGTTGGTTTCTATCTGGCTGCTTCTACCAATTAACAGATGAACCAAATTACTGTAGTGTTCGTTTGAATGTACAACATTTGACCTCAAGAAATGTTTGCTCCTCCCTTTCACAGGTCTTTATTGCCCCACTGTGCATGACTGTGGTAAAGGAATATGCTGAGTTAAATGTTTAAGCTCTATCATTACCATTACCGCAGAAACTAATTTTGATTGTAACTCAGTTTGCAAAATCAAAAGGGAAAGAAAAGCAGACGAAATGCAGTCAGCAGCACCGCAAATAGAATAGATAAGGCAACTAGAGTTTAAAATAATGCGTCTGTCAAAATGTTTTGATAGTACAGCACATAATGCATTATACATGTTATCCTAGAGAATGTCATAATTTTACAATTGGAGCAGACTCCACCCAAAGTAATGAGATCAAAAATGTGTAGCCAAAACATCAGAAAATAAATATTTTAATTAAAGGGGTGGTTGATTGTGATTTCACTTTTTTAACTTTAGTTAGTGTGTAATGTTGCTGTTTGAGCATAAACAATATCTGCAAATTTAAAGGGATAGTTCAACCAAAAATGAAAATTCGGTCATTAATTACTCACCCTCATGTCGTTCTAAACCCGTAAGACCTTCGTTCATCTTCGGAACTCAAATTAAGATATTTTGATGGAATCTGAGAGCTCTCTGACCCTCCCATAGACAGCAATGATCCTTACACGATCAAGGTCCAGAAACATAGCAAGAACATCGGTAAAATAATCCGTGTGGCATCAGGGGTTCAACTGTAATTTTACAAAGCTGCAAGAATACTTTTTGTGCGCAAAAGAAAAAAAAAAACGACTTTATTCAAATTCGTCTCCTCCGCATCACCCTGGTGCCATTTTGGAGAATATCCACTAAACGCAAACAGTGTATGCAATTCTGTGTCAGCTGCGCCACGCGGATAAATTATCGGACGAATTTGAATAAAGTCATAATTTTTTTTCTTTTAAAATTCTGGCAGTTTAATGCCTATAAAAATGGCTCGTAGGGACTACAACGAGTAACTTCCCGGGTTTGTGACATCACAAACCCAGACATTTACATAACCCCGCCCCCGGGAACATGCAACAAAGGGGGCGAGGCCATGTTGCACTGCTTTTATAGAGAAGAGGAAGAGTTGTTGCCATGCCATCAAAAACTAGGGATGCACAAAACATCTATATATATGAATCGTGATTCTG